ATCAAAACTCTGTCATCTTGAGACCAACCAAGACCCCTCAGTTGATGGCACACTTGTCACCACAGAATACCCGGTGGATGAAGCTGAATCGCTGGCCACCTGCTCTGACAGTCCTGCCATACGTTGGGCCATGTCGAACTCGTGGCTCAAGTCGAAGACTGAAGCAGAATCCGATTGTGGCCCTGCATTGGAAGGACGCAGGCGTGACAGGTCTGAGCTTGTCTCGGAAGCTTCTCCATCCATGGACTGATGCGGGATGAAGAGCCACACACCTTGGTCCGTGAAGATGCGATTGCTGCCGTTGCTGCCATTGCTGCGAATGCTGTCAGTCCCCTGGCCAGGACGGCCAGGAGTTCGGCTTTCATCCGACTCAGTGGATGCAGCCACTGAAGCTGGGCGGGTCTGGGATTCGGCGCCGTCGTGAGGCCCTGGATCCACCGGATCCATTTCGAGGATTTTGTTCTCGATCGGCACGATTGGGAGGAGCTCGGCAACTTTCTGTGCACCTTCCCAAACATCCTCCGAAAGGTTTTTGAATTTTTTGACCTCACTGGCACCGGTCTTTAAACCTTCCCAAGCTTTCTTGCCAACATCTTCTGAAAGGTTTTTGGTCTCGTTGGCACCGATCTTTATACCTTCCCAGGTTTTTTTGCCAACATCCTCCGAAAAGTCTCTTGCACTATTCCAAGCTTTCTTGAAGAATCCCATGAGCACAAGCGAGTGAGACAAACAGCGAGGATAGAGCGTGGGAGTGCTTCAATTGCGCCAAACCACGGCAAGTCATACAAATCAGTCTCGGTGTCATGTAGATTTGCCACGGGTGTTTGCAAAAATGACCAAAAAGTGCACGGATGTGTAAAAACCCAACACTTTCCGGTCACGTCGCGAGCCAACCTCTGATCAACGAGCTGAGATCTTGCAGGAACCAGCCTGGCCGCACTGGTAAAGAAAACAACAGTTGTGCCTGAAACATCACCAACACCCACGAAACTGATGAAAACACTTGACAAATATGGGTTTGTCTAAAAGTAGGTAGCCGCTTAGCCCTCAAATCCCTGCACTTCTAATCAGTTTCCCCATTTAATGGCAATTTCATGGTATAATCCCCCACTTTCAGAGGGCTCCATATACAGGTCAAGACAGCGTTGCAGAAATGCTTGTCTTCACCTTGCATGACCTTGAGCTACTGGAAATCAGCATATGGCCTTCTAATCAGGAACCCTTAAAACATGGATTTTCCTGTACAAAATCACCATGTTTGGATGATTTTTTGGGCGCCCCCATATCTTCTGTTTCCGTAATTCCCACCTTCACAGCTGGTGGCCGCTTTCAGGTGCCTTGTTGATCTCCATTCCTGGCGCATTGACATTGTACAAACAAGATATGGGGGGGATATCATTCTCATTGTCAGGGCGGTGTCCAAGCACCAGCCAAAGGGGGATATGATGGCTGGAAATGTGCAGGAATCCCTTACCTTTTCACACAGTAGAAACAGCTGTCATGATTGTTTGAGGATAGCCTCTGAGGCCAAGGCAACTTGTTGAACCAACACAAGCATCAACGTGCAAGAAATGCATCGACCAATCAGCCTGTCAAAGCACTGCGGCCACAATTCTGACCTCCACTTGGCTCCGCTACACCTTGTTTTTCAGATTTGGTGATGTCCACAACAAAAAAGTATCAAAAAGTAATTTGACAAGTTTACGTGTCTCAATGCCAAGCGTTGATGATAATCATTGAAAATCGATGAAGCAAAACATTGGTGAAACTTCGGCCCCAAAAAAGCCCACTGCATCCCGCCGCCTCTGGCTCCACGAGCCGAAGTTGTCAGTGAGCGTCGCTTGTGCGATCCAACGCGGCCATTTTCACTCCTGCGATTGGTTTCTCTCTGGCATTCTTGTTTTCAAAACGGAAGAATACATGCTGCATACATCTGTATACGGTGAAATGGCGTCCGTCTCATAGCCAAACATCGCATGTCTGCACATATGCTGTGTTCATCTTTATTCACTCACCCGACTGTCACATACGAGTACCAAGTCAACATGGATTGGACAATACAGAAAGTAATTCGATGGAATTTGGCATTCAAGAGCCACTCCAAGTTCGATATAATCTCCATGCAGAACCGCTTGCCGTTTCACTAACATGAGGACAGCCGCTGAGGCCGGGACAACTCGTTGAAACAATGGCAGCGCAGCAAGACTTGAGAAACCCATCCACCAGCCTGTCAAAGCACTGGCGCAATTCAGACCTCTTGCGGCATGATGGACATTGAGATTTGGTGCTTTGGGCTTTGGGTGATTAGAAATGTCGGAAAGTATGAATGTCTCAATGCCAACCTGGAAGCTGCATGGTTTTGTCGATAGTGACTTGCTTCGTTATTCACCTTGGACCGCGAACGAAGCTGGTGACAAAAACAATCCTCCCTGGATTTCTTGCCACAAGGCACACCTGATCACATCTGTGACAAATAACCTGGTTTTCAACTGGATCTGAATGTCATCTTGCAGAGTCTGGGTCATGTTTTGCTCCGGGATTCCCGGCCTTGCAAACTTACTGACTCTGGAAATAAAAAGGGATGGCCTGGCGTGTGAACTCAGTTGAGCTGCAGCTCGCACATCATGCCATCACTTCCCACCATTGTCAACTTGCATCAACTTGCTAAGCTGAGCTGAACTCACACATCATGTCAACATCATGTCATCACTTGTATGGTTGATTTGCCCCAAACTTGTATTGTTCAAAATAGAATTCCCTCCAGTAATCAAACATGGCTGGAAAATTGACCATGTCTAGATCATTTTCCCAGCTAAAAACCTCCATTTTTAGGGGATGTCCAATTCCCATGTTTGATTACAGTGATTACAGGATGGTAATGAAATGTAATGAACGTCTGTATGTTGGGATAGCTTGGGCAGGCTTGGCACATCCCCACGCGGTTTCTAGCGTCTGTCAACATCCGGAGGCTCCGACCCATCTGAAAAGAGTTGGATGGTGGCCTCAGAAACTGCCGTGGAACCACAGGTTGGATAGGTCAATTGGGGTGGAAATCATGATTCCCAACAGGCAATGGATAGATTGCAGGGAAATTCTACCGGAAACATCTGAAAACCATACAGTAGGTTCTTAATACACAAAATGTAAGCATTTCCTGTCAAATTTCCCATCATCAAATTCTGGGACACTTGGCATATCTCATCATGCACAGAGTGGTATGACTCAACAAATGGGCTATACTTGGAACCACCAAAATTTAGTGATTTTATAGCAACTAAACGACCAGGATTTACCGTTTGCCCGGAATGCAATTCATGACGGCTTGACGAAGAGCCAAAACCGTGGTAATCGTACAAACATACGACTTTTGAACATATGTTGACATGGTTTTCGTGGGGATCGAAAAAGGCTTTCCGATTTCAGAGTGCTCAGAGGGGCCTTCGAAATCCCGTTTTCCAGAATCCCAAATTTTCACCTCTTTATAAGCATCTTCGCCACTCTGAACATGGATATCATATGATATCATGGATTTTAACCCTTCTTATGAATAAGACATAATAAGACTAAGAGATACTAAGAGTAATCCTTTCTTTTTGGACAGTTTGGGCGGCACCTGGCCCCAAGTAAATTCTCCCGAGTTCGACTCGAGTGAGTCGATCAAAGGGCAAGTCGAGTACCAAAAATGTCATGTTCCTGGGTAGTCTGGGAAGTCTGGTCGGGTCCAAATCAAAGTAGCAAAGAATTGAAACAAGTTCATTGTATAAAAAAACACCCCCAAAGAGATACAGTAGAACAATATAATTTCCTGCTATTTTAATAGGATTGTACTTGCTCTTGTATGTTGGGTGCTGTTTAGCACAAGAAACTGGTCCATGGCAACCCGCCCCCATGGGTCCTCCCAAGTTACACCCCAGGTAGCCCAACGGTACTCTCCACGCAGAAAGTCCTTCTGGGCGGTCCTCAACAAAAACACCAATCATATGGGGTGAACCCATCCATTTTATAGGATTTTTATAGGGCTTCCTGGGGGATGTAATCGGATTTAACATCATCTAACATCATCTAACCAATTTTCCAAGGGGCCGCCATGTCATGGATCGACATGGATCAAACCCAGAAAAAATTTTGGGTGCCCTTGGAACTGGAAACATCCCGCATATGGAAGATCTGAATAAAACTAATAGATACTAATAGTAAAATAATGAAATAAGTCAAACAACTGACAAAAGTCAATGCTAAACACAATGAAATTGATTGAAAACATGAGTAAACCTATGGTAAAATGCTGAAATATGTTGATCAACTGCTGAAAACCAATGGAAAAATGCTGAAATAGGTTGGACAATAGTTTAAAACCAATGGCAAAAGGCTGAAATAGGCTGGAAATTTGCTGGGGGTATACCGTATACCGTATACGTGATTTTCCGACACATTATATTTTCATATATTTTCCATAATTCAATATTCCCCCTTAAAATGCATTCGAACTGCGAATCGATGGACGTGTTCCAGCGGACAGAATTATGGAGAAAAAAGAATAATTATGGAAAAAAAAAAAAAGTCTAGAAATTTCCCGTGATAGACAGGAGCTCACCTGTCAATTGTAACCTTTTTTTTCCATGATTCTGTCGGCTGCAGTATCCCCTGCCAGGCTTGCAGGGACTGCATCGGTGCTGGGTGGTGAAGTCAGGCAATCAACCCAGGGTGACAACGCAAATTTCGTTGGAACAGCTTGCAACGTATTGGAACCATCAACCAATGCTCCACTAAAAAGCCACTAAAAAACTAAAAGCACAGACATCTCTGGACATGTTGATCATTTCCACACAATTGCTGGGTCTCCCTACAGGCTGAGCAACCGAGAATGAAGCAACTGCAGAACAGCTATATAAAATGTTGGGTGTCTTTACGCTCTCTTGAGCAACGATCTTTCATACTCATCCATATTCCGAATATTCTACTATTTTCCCAGCCACTGCAAGAAACGCTTGTGGGCAGCGTCAGCCCATCCTGCCCACGTCCAAGCCTTTGAAAAGCTCCTTCGCACAATCCGTCCACCATCCACTGGAAAGCACAGGACCTTCACCAGATCCTGGCAAACACCAAGTCTTACAGTCTTAGCTCTCAGATGTTGCAGTGACAATCTCATTCAAAACCTTCAGAAACGCGCTTCGCTGAAGAGACAAAGAGACTCCAAATTGGACTCCAAATGCAACTTTTGAGGCGGGCGATTGCGAAAAGCTGCAAGGGTCTCCAAGCAAAGCACAGGTATGTACTGGCTGCTTGGCTGAAGAGCGCGGGCCTTTGACAGCCCATTGGCCCTTCCCAAAACTTCGAAAGATACCTCCTCTGGTGGGGATTTTTCATCCCCGCAGCCGGCTCCTAGGTCCGGCTAAAAATTCAATCAATAAATTTATATCATGTGTACAAATCAATTTGATACTGCACAAAAATGTTTGAGGCAAAAGCTGGACGAAGGACAAACCTAAAAAGCCTCAAACGTGTAGAAAAAGTGTAATAAAACTTTTGCAAAGCACCAGACCAGGCAACTGTTTCAAGTCACCGTCAGCATGGAAAAAAACTAAAGATGTGACCAAAGCAGGCCTCTCAGAGCTCCAATCTATGCTCCAACCAATGTTGGCTGCAAAGTTGTCACCAAGCTTGGGGACTGCACTTTGGTGGCTGCAGGCACGCTGTATGGCACTGAGGAGTGGTGGAGGAAGATGCGCACCTTGCCATCCGCATTCTTCTTGTAGCCGAAAGTGTACTCAACTTTGGTCTTGCTTCCATCTGCAGCGCTGGTGAAGAAGTAGTTGCCCATGGCAATGGCAACATTGCCAGTGACATCAATTTGGTGGTTGTCAAAAACCACATTTGACCATCCCTTTCCACCGTTGATGGCGAAGCCAGCATCCTCAAGATAACCCTTCTCGACTGCCTTGTGTCCAACAAAGTAGGACATGGCATCTGAGGCTGTGGGTCGAAACTGTGCTTCAGCTGCCTTGGTTGGCTTGAACAGCACATTTGTGTGTCCATAGCCATAGAGCTCACCGGCTGCTTTGGCAGCAGCTGCAACGTAGTCGCCTCCGTCAAGATAAGTCTTGGAGATACTCCTGATGGCATTGGCCCATGCTGCCTGCACACTCTTTACTTCCTCTTCAGTAATCGCTCCAGATGCAGTGGCTGCAGGCACGCTGTATGGCACTGACGAATGGTGGAGGAAGATGCGCACCTTGCCGTCCGCATTCTTCTTGTAGCCGAAAGTGTACTCAACTTTGGTCTTGCTTCCATCTGCAGCGCTGGTGAAGAAGTAGTTGCCCATGGCAATGGCAACATTGCCACTGACATCGATTTGGTGGTTATCAAAAACCACGTTCGACCATCCCTTTCCACCGTTGATGGCAAAGCCAGCATCCTCAAGATAACCCTTCTCGACCGCTTTGTGCCCAACAAAGTAGGACATGGCATCTGAGGCTGTGGGTCGAAACTGTGCTTCAGCTGCCTTGGTTGGCTTGAACAGCACATTTGTGTGTCCATAGCCATAGAGCTCACCAGCTGCTTTGCCAGCAGCTGCAACGTAGTCGCCTCCGTCAAGATAGGTCTTGGAGATACTCTTGATGGCATTGGCCCATGCTGCCTGCACACTCTTTACTTCCTCTTCAGTAATCTCTGCAGTTGGAGTGGCTGCGGGCACGCTGTATGGCACTGAGGAGTGGTGGAGGAAGATGCGCACCTTGCCGTCGGCATTCTTCTTGTAGCCGAAAGTGTACTCAACTTTGGTCTTGCTTCCATCTGCAGCGCTGGTGAAGAAGTAGTTGCCCATGGCAATGGCAACATTGCCAGTGACATCAATTTGGTGGTTGTCAAAAACCACATTTGACCATCCCTTTCCACCGTTGATGGCGAAGCCAGCATCCTCAAGATAACCCTTCTCGACCGCTCTGTGCCCAACAAAGTAGGACATGGCATCTGAGGCTGTGGGTCGAAACTGTGCTTCAGCTGCCTTGGTTGGCTTGAACAGCACATTTGTGTGTCCATAGCCATAGAGCTCACCGGCTGCTTTGGCAGCAGCTGCAACGTAGTCGCCTCCGTCAAGATAAGTCTTGGAGATACTCTTGATGGCATTGGCCCATGCTGCCTGCACACTCTTTACTTCCTCTTCAGTAATCGCTCCAGATGCAGTGGCTGCAGGCACGCTGTATGGCACTGAGGAGTGGTGGAGGAAGATGCGCACCTTGCCGTCCGCATTCTTCTTGTAGCCGAAAGTGTACTCAACTTTGGTCTTGCTTCCATCTGCAGCGCTGGTGAAAAAGTAGTTGCCCATGGCAATGGCAACATTGCCGCTGACATGAATTTTGTGGTTGTCAAAAACCACATTTGACCATCCCTTTCCACCGTTGATGGCGAAGCCAGCATCCTCAAGATAACCCATTCTCGACCGCCTTGTGCCCAACAAAGTAGGACATGGCATCTGAGGCTGTGGGTCGAAACTGTGCTTCAGCTGCCTTGGTTGGCTTGAACAGCACATCAGAGTGGCCATAGCCATAGAGCTCACCGGCTGCTTTGGCAGCAGCTGCAACGTAGTCGCCTCCCTCAAGATAGGTCTTGGAAATGTGTTTGATTGCATCTGACCAAGCCTTTTGTGCCAGAAGAACCTCAGCCTCCGATACACTCAGGGTCACAACCCTTGTCTGAGTCTGCATTCCAGGGGAGACCATTGCTGACGGAGCATAGATCTGTGGTGCCATCTGTGGATAAGCCACAGCTGGGGCAGCCATGCCGCCAGGGATCTCAGCACCACTCGTCACGTAAGAGACACGAGATGGGAGCGTAGTCACGGCACCTGGAACTGCATACATCTGTTGTCCAGGGTACACGGGCTGACCAGTGAACATTGCTGGATGCTAACACGATGGAAGCAGAAAACACCTTCAGTATCCTTGAATGGCTTCGGATGCGCCATCTACTCAACTCAATCTGAATCCATTCACTGCATGCCTGGACAATGAATTCAGATTCCTCAAGATTGTTGATCTCCAAAGTGCATGTTTTGCATGTTTCGACGCAGAAACCTTGCAAGGACCTATAAGGCCTCTAGCCTATGCTTCCGTTCTTGACTCGTATTCATCCTGATCCCAAACAGCCTGGCTTTACATCTTGCAGCATAGCTGGCCTGCGCAGCTTAAATGCTGGAACCGAGAATGAAACAACTGCAGAACAGCTAGATAAAATGTTGGGTGTCTTTAGGCTCTCTTGAGCAACGATCTTTCATACTCATCCATATTCCGAAAATTCTACTATTTTCCCACCCACTGCAAGAAACGCTTGTGGGCAGCGTCAGCCCATCCTGCCCACGTCCAAGCCTTTGAAAAGCTCCTTCGCACAATCCGTCCACCATCCACTGGAAAGCACAGGACCTTCACCAGATCCTGGCAGACACCAAGTCTTACAGTCTTAGCTCTCAGATGTTGCAGTGACAATCTCATTCAAAACCTTCAGAAACGCGCTCCGCTCAAGAGACAAAGAGACTCCAAATTGACTCCAAATGCAACTTTTGAGGCGGGCGATTGCGAAAAGCTGCAAGGGTCTCCAAGCAAAGCACAGCTATGTACTGGCTGCTTGGCTGAAGAGCGCGGGCCTTTGACAGCCCATTGGCCCTTCCCAAAACTTCGAAAGATACCTCCTCTGGTGGGGATTTTTCATCCCCGCAGCCGGCTCCTAGGTCCGGCTAAAAATTCAATAATTAAATCTATATCATGTGTACAAATCAATTTGATACTGCACAAAAATGTTTGAGGCAAAAGCTGGACAAAGGACAAACCTAAAAAGCCTCAAACGTGCAGAAAAGTGCAATAAAACTTTTGCAAAGCACCAGACCAGGCAACTGTTTCAAGTCACCGTCAGCATCGAAAAAAACTAAAGATGTGACCAAAGCAGGCCTCTCAGAGATCAAATCTATGCTCCAACCACTGTTGGCTGCAAAGTTGTCACCAAGCTTGGGGACTGCACTTTGGTGGCTGCAGGCACGCTGTATGGCACTGAGGAGTGGTGGAGGAAGATGCGCACCTTGCCATCCGCATTCTTCTTGTAGCCGAAAGTGTACTCAACTTTGGTCTTGCTTCCATCTGCAGCGCTGGTGAAGAAGTAGTTGCCCATGGCAATGGCAACATTGCCAGTGACATCAATTTGGTGGTTGTCAAAAACCACATTTGACCATCCCTTTCCACCGTTGATGGCGAAGCCAGCATCCTCAAGATAACCCTTCTCGACCGCCTTGTGCCCAACAAAGTAGGACATGGCATCTGAGGCTGTGGGTCGAAACTGTGCTTCAGCTGCCTTGGTTGGCTTGAACAGCACATTTGTGTGTCCATAGCCATAGAGCTCACCGGCTGCTTTGGCAGCAGCTGCAACGTAGTCGCCTCCCTCAAGATAAGTCTTGGAGATACTCTTGATGGCATTGGCCCATGCTGCTTGCACACTCTTTACTTCCTCTTCAGTAATCGCTCCAGATGCAGTGGCTGCAGGCACGCTGTATGGCACTGAGGAGTGGTGGAGGAAGATGCGCACCTTGCCGTCCGCATTCTTCTTGTAGCCGAAAGTGTACTCAACTTTGGTCTTGCTTCCATCTGCAGCGCTGGTGAAGAAGTAGTTGCCCATGGCAATGGCAACATTGCCAGTGACATCAATTTGGTGGTTGTCAAAAACCACATTTGACCATCCCTTCCACCGTTGATGGCGAAGCCAGCATCCTCAAGATAACCCTTCTCGACCGCCTTGTGCCCAACAAAGTAGGACATGGCATCTGAGGCTGTGGGTCGAAACTGTGCTTCAGCTGCCTTGGTTGGCTTGAACAGCACATTTGTGTGTCCATAGCCATAGAGCTCACCGGCTGCTTTGGCAGCAGCTGCAACGTAGTCGCCTCCCTCAAGATAAGTCTTGGAGATACTCTTGATGGCATTGGCCCATGCTGCCTGCACACTCTTTACTTCCTCTTCAGTAATCGCTCCAGATGCAGTGGCTGCAGGCACGCTGTATGGCACTGAGGAGTGGTGGAGGAAGATGCGCACCTTGCCGTCCGCATTCTTCTTGTAGCCGAAAGTGTACTCAACTTTGGTCTTGCTTCCATCTGCAGCGCTGGTGAAGAAGTAGTTGCCCATGGCAATGGCAACATTGCCAGTGACATCAATTTGGTGGTTGTCAAAAACCACATTTGACCATCCCTTTCCACCGTTGATGGCGAAGCCAGCATCCTCAAGATAACCCTTCTCGACTGCCTTGTGTCCAACAAAGTAGGACATGGCATCTGAGGCTGTGGGTCGAAACTGTGCTTCAGCTGCCTTGGTTGGCTTGAACAGCACATTTGTGTGTCCATAGCCATAGAGCTCACCGGCTGCTTTGGCAGCAGCTGCAACGTAGTCGCCTCCCTCAAGATAAGTCTTGGAGATACTCCTGATGGCATTGGCCCATGCTGCCTGCACACTCTTTACTTCCTCTTCAGTAATCGCTCCAGATGCAGTGGCTGCAGGCACGCTGTATGGCACTGAGGAGTGGTGGAGGAAGATGCGCACCTTGCCGTCCGCATTCTTCTTGTAGCCGAAAGTGTACTCAACTTTGGTCTTGCTTCCATCTGCAGCGCTGGTGAAAAAGTAGTTGCCCATGGCAATGGCAACATTGCCGCTGACATGAATTTTGTGGTTGTCAAAAACCACATTTGACCATCCCTTTCCACCGTTGATGGCGAAGCCAGCATCCTCAAGATACCCATTCTCGACCGCCTTGTGCCCAACAAAGTAGGACATGGCATCTGAGGCTGTGGGTCGAAACTGGGCTTCAGCTGCCTTGGTTGGCTTGAACAGCACATCAGAGTGGCCATAGCCATAGAGCTCACCGGCTGCTTTGGCAGCAGCTGCAACGTAGTCGCCTCCCTCAAGATAGGTCTTGGAAATGTGTTTGATTGCATCTGACCAAGCCTTTTGTGCCAGAAGAACCTCAGCCTCCGATACACTCAGGGTCACAACCCTTGTCTGAGTCTGCATTCTAGGGGAGACCATTGCTGACGGAGCATAGATCTGTGGTGCCATCTGTGGATAAGCCACAGCTGGGGCAGCCATGCCGCCAGGGATCTCAGCACCACTCGTCACGTAAGAGACACGAGATGGGAGCGTAGTCACGGCACCTGGAACTGCATACATCTGTTGTCCAGGGTACACGGGCTGACCAGTGAACATTGCTGGATGCTAACACGATGGAAGCAGAAAACACCTTCAGTATCCTTGAATGGCTTCGGATGCGCCATCTACTCAACTCAATCTGAATCCATTCACTGCATGCCTGGACAATGAATTCAGATTCCTCAAGATTGTTGATCTCCAAAGTGCATGTTTCTACGCAGAAACCTTGCAAGGACCTACAAGACCTATGCTTCCCTTCTTGACTCGTATTCATCCTGATCCCAAACAGCCTTGCTTTCCAATTTGCAGCATAGCTGGCCTGCGCAGCTTAAATGCTGGAACCGAGAATGAAACAACTCAAGCAGAACAGCTAGATAAAATGTTGGGTGTCTTTACGCTCTCTTGAGCAACGATCTTTCATACTCATCCATATTCCGAATATTCTACTATTTTCCCACCCACTGCAAGAAACGCTTGTGGGCAGCGTCAGCCCATCCTGCCCACGTCCAAGCCTTTGAAAAGCTCCTTCGCACAATCCGTCCACCATCCACTGGAAAGCACAGGACCTTCACCAGATCCTGGCAAACACCAAGTCTTACAGTCTTAGCTCTCAGATGTTGCAGTGACAATCTCATTCAAAACCTTCAGAAACGTGCTCCGCTCAAGAGACAAAGAGACTCCAAATTGGACTCCAAATGCAACTTTTGAGGCGGGCGATTGCGAAAAGCTGCAAGGGTCTCCAAGCAAAGCACAGCTATGTACTGGCTGCTTGGTTGAAGAGCGTGGGCCTTTGACAGCCCATTGGCCCTTCCCAAAACTTCGAACGATATCTCCTCTGGTGGGGATTTTTCATCCCCGCAGCCGGCTCCTAGGTCCGGCTAAAAATTCAATCATAAATCTATATCATGTGTACAAATCAATTTCATACTGCACAAAAATGTTTGAGGCAAAAGCTGGACAAAGGACAAACCTAAAAAGCCTCAAACGTGCAGAAAAGTGCAATAAAACTTTTGCAAAGCACCAGACCAGGCAACTGTTTCAAGTCACCGTCAGCATCGAAAAAAACTAAAGATGTGACCAAAGCAGGCCTCTCAGAGATAAAATCTATGCTCCAACCACTGTTGGCTGCAAAGTTGTCACCAAGCTTGGGGACTGCACTTTGGTGGCTGCAGGCACGCTGTATGGCACTGAGGAGTGGTGGAGGAAGATGCGCACCTTGCCATCCGCATTCTTCTTGTAGCCGAAAGTGTACTCAACTTTCGTCTTGCTTCCATCTGCAGCGCTGGTGAAGAAGTAGTTGCCCATGGCAATGGCAACATTGCCAGTGACATCAATTTGGTGGTTGTCAAAAACCACATTTGACCATCCCTTTCCACCGTTGATGGCGAAGCCAGCATCCTCAAGATAACCCTTCTCGACCGCCTTGTGCCCAACAAAGTAGGACATGGCATCTGAGGCTGTGGGTCGAAACTGTGCTTCAGCTGCCTTGGTTGGCTTGAACAGCACATTTGTGTGTCCATAGCCATAGAGCTCACCGGCTGCTTTGGCAGCAGCTGCAACGCAGTCGCCTCCGTCAAGATAAGTCTTGGAGATGCTCCTGATGGCATTGGCCCATGCTGCTTGCACACTCTTTACTTCCTCTTCAGTAATCGCTCCAGATGCAGTGGCTGCAGGCACGCTGTATGGCACTGAGGAGCGGTGGAGGAAGATGCGCACCTTGCCGTCCGCATTCTTCTTGTAGCCGAAAGTGTACTCAACTTTGGTCTTGCTTCCATCTGCAGCGCTGGTGAAGAAGTAGTTGCCCATGGCAATGGCAACATTGCCACTGACATCGATTTGGTGGTTATCAAAAACCACGTTCGACCATCCCTTTCCACCGTTGATGGCAAAACCAGCATCCTCAAGATGACCCTTCTCGACCGCTTTGTGCCCAACAAAGTAGGACATGGCATCGGAGGCTGTGGGTCGAAACTGCGCTTCAGCTGCCTTGGTTGGCTTGAACAGCACATTTGTGTGTCCATAGCCATAGAGCTCACCGGCTGCTTTGGCAGCAGCTGCAATGTAGTCACCTCCGTCAAGATAGGTCTTGGAGATACTCTTGATGGCATTGGCCCATGCTGCCTGCACACTCTTTACTTCCTCTTCAGTAATCTCTGCAGTTGGAGTGGCTGCGGGCACGCTGTATGGCACTGAGGAGTGGTGGAGGAAGATGCGCACCTTGCCGTCCGCATTCTTCTTGTAGCCGAAAGTGTACTCAACTTTGGTCTTGCTTCCATCTGCAGCGCTGGTGAAGAAGTAGTTGCCCATGGCAATGGCAACATTGCCAGTGACATCAATTTGGTGGTTGTCAAAAACCACGTTCGACCATCCCTTCCCACCGTTGATGGCGAAGCCAGCATCCTCAAGATAACCCTTCTCGACCGCTCTGTGCCCAACAAAGTAGGACATGCATCTGAGGCTGTGGGTCGAAATTGTGCTTCAGCTGCCTTGGTTGGCTTGAACAGCACATTTGTGTGTCCATAGCCATAGAGCTCACCGGCTGCTTTGGCAGCAGCTGTAACGTAGTCGCCTCCCTCAAGACAAGTCTTGGAGATACTCTTGATGGCATTGGCCCATGCTGCCTGCACACTCTTTACTTCCTCTTCAGTAATCGCTCCAGATGCAGTGGCTGCAGGCACGCGGTATGGCACTGAGGAGTGGTGGAGGAAGATGCGCACCTTGCCGTCCGCATTCTTCTTGTAGCCGAAAGTGTACTCAACTTTGGTCTTGCTTCCATCTGCAGCGCTGGTGAAAAAGTAGTTGCCCATGGCAATGGCAACATTGCCGCTGACATGAATTTTGTGGTTGTCAAAAACCACATTTGACCATCCCTTTCCACCGTTGATGGCGAAGCCAGCATCCTCAAGATAACCATTCTCGACCGCCTTGTGCCCAACAAAGTAGGACATGGCATCTGAGGCTGTGGGTCGAAACTGTGCTTCAGCTGCCTTGGTTGGCTTGAACAGCACATCAGAGTGGCCATAGCCATAGAGCTCACCGGCTGCTTTGGCAGCAGCTGCAACGTAGTCGCCTCCCTCAAGATAGGTCTTGGAAATGTGTTTGATTGCATCTGACCAAGCCTTTTGTGCCAGAAGAACCTCAGCCTCCGATACACTCAGGGTCACAACCCTTGTCTGAGTCTGCATTCCAGGGGAGACCATTGCTGACAGAGCATAGATCTGTGGTGCCATCTGTGGATAAGCCACAGCTGGGGCAGCCATGCCGCCAGGGATCTCAGCACCACTCGTCACGTAAGAGACACGAGATGGGAGCGTAGTCACGGCACCTGGAACTGCATACATCTGTTGTCCAGGGTACACGGGCTGACCAGTGAACATTGCTGGATGCTAACACGATGGAAGCAGAAAACACCTTCAGTATCCTTGAATGGCTTCGGATGCGCCATCTACTCAACTCAATTTGAATCCATTCACTGCATGCCTGGACAATGAATTCAGATTCCTCAAGGTTGTTGATCTCCAAAGTGCATGTTTTGCATGTTTCGACGCAGAAACCTTGCAAGGACCTATAAGGCCTCTAGCCTATGCTTCCGTTCTTGACTCGTATTCATCCTGATCCCAAACAGCCTGGCTTTACATCTTGCAGCATAGCTGGCCTGCGCAGCTTAAATGCTGGAACCGAGAGAATGAAACAACTGCAGAACAGCTAGATAAAATGTTGGGTGTCTTTAGGCTCTCTTGAGCAACGATCTTTCATACTCATCCATATTCCGAATATTCTACTATTTTCCCACCCACTGCAAGAAACGCTTGTGGGCAGCGTCAGCCCATCCTGCCCACGTCCAAACCTTTGAAAAGCTCCTTCGCACAATCCGTCCACCATCCACTGGAAAGCACAGGACCTTCACCAGATCCTGGCAGACACCAAGTCTTACAGTCTTAGCTCTCAGATGTTGCAGTGACAATCTCATTCAAAACCTTCAGAAACACGCTCCGCTCAAGAGACAAAGAGACTCCAAATTGCACTCCAAATGCAACTTTTGAGGCGGGCGATTGCGAAAAGCTGAAACAGGTATGTACTGGTTGCTTGGTTGAAGAGCCTAGGCCTTCGACAGCCCATTGGCCCTTCCCAAAACTTCGAAAGATACCTCCTCTGGTGGGGATTTTTCATCCCCGCAGCCGGCTCCTAGGTCCGGCTAAAAAAATCTATCCTTAAAATTTAAATCTAGATCCGCCGACCCCTGCTGTAGCGGGGGAGCGCGTGAAAGAAGCAACTTTTGTCAAGCAAAGGCAAGGTTTGCAACTAGTTTCTAGACGTTCAGGAAGCGACGTTTGGAGTCTGGGCTGCCGGCCGCGGGCCCGATCCGTCCTTCACTGCCATGGTGTTTTGGTAATGCGGCAGCGTCCTTGAACCTGAGGTGTGCCAGACGAACGCCATCTGCAAAACGCAGCAAGCAATTTGGAAGCTGGCACTGCCGAACGGCTGGTAAAGGCAAGGTTTGCAGCTAGTTTCTAGGCGTTCAGAAAGCGACGTTTGGCACTCTGGGCTGCCGGCCGCAGGTCCGATCCGTCCTTCACTGCCATGGTGTTTTGGTGCTGCGGCAGCGTCCTTCGACCTGAGGTGTGCCAGACGAACGCCACCTGCGAGACGCAGCACAAGCAATTTGGAACCTGGCAGTGCCGAACGGCAGGTAAAGGAGCTAGTTTCTAGGCGTCCAGAAAGCAGACGCAGCAAGCAATTTGGAATGGCAGTGCCGAACGGCAGGTAAAGGCAAGGTTTGCAACTAGTTTCTAAGCGTTCAGAAAGCGACGTTTGGCACTCTGGGCTGCCGGCCGCGGGCCCGATCCGTCCTTCACTGCCATTGTGTTTCGGTGCTGCGGTAGCGTCCTTGAACCTGAGGTGTGCCAGACGAACTGCAAGACGCAGCAAGCAATTTGGAAGCTGGCAGTGCCGAACGGCAGGTAAAGGCAAAGTTTGCAGCTAGTTTCTAAGCGTTCAGAAAGCGACGTTTGGCACTCTGGGCTGCTGGCCGCGGGCCCGATCCGTCCTTCACTGCCATGGTGTTTTGGTGCTGCGGCAGCGTCCTTGGACCTGAGGTGTGCCAGACAAACGCCACTGGCAAGACACAGCAAGCCATTAGGAAGCTGGCAGTACAGAACGGCAGGTAAAGGCAAGGTTTGCAGCTAGTTTCTAGGCGTTCAAAAAGCAACGTTTGGCACTCTGGGCTGCCGGCCGCGGGCCCGATCCGCCCTTCACTGCCATGGTGCTTTGGTGCTGCGGCAGCGTCCTTGGACCCGAGGTGTGCCAGACGAACGCCACCAGCACGACGCAGCAAGCACTTTGGAAGCTGGCAGTGCAGAACGGCACGCAGCAAGCAATTTGGAAGCTGGCAGTGCCGAACGGCAGGTAAAGGCAAGGCTTGCAGCTAGTTTCTAGGCGTTCAGAAAGCGACGTTTGGCACTCTGGGCTGCCGGCCGCGGGGCCGATCCGTCCTTCACTGCCACCGTGTTTTGGTGCTGCGGCAGCGTCCTTGGACCTGCAGTGTGCCAGACGAACGCCACCTGCGAGACGCAGCAAGCAATTTGGAAGCTGGCAGTGCCGAACGGCAGGTAAAGGCAAAGTTTGCAACTAGTTTCTAGGCGTTCAGAAAGCAGACGCAGCAAGCAATTTGGAAGCTGGCAGTGCCGAACGGCAGGTAAAGGCAAGGTTTGCAACTAGTTTCTACGCGTTCAGAAAGCAGACGCAGCAAGCCATTAGGAAGCTGGCAGTGCCGAACGGCAGGTAAAGGCAAGGTTTGCAGCTAGTTTCTAAGCGTTCAGAAAGCGACGTTTGGCACTCTGGGCTGCTGGCCGCGGGCCCGATCCGTCCTTCACTGCCATGGTGTTTTGGTGCTGCGGCAGCGTCCTTGGACCTGAGGTGTGCCAGACAAACGCCACTGGCAAGACACAGCAAGCCATTAGGAAGCTGGCAGTACAGAACGGCAGGTAAAGGCAAGGTTTGCAACTAGTTTCTAGGCGTTCAGAAAGTGTTTGGCACTCTGGGCTGCTGGCCGCGGGCCCGATCCGTCCTTTCTTGGCGTTCAGAAAGAGCCAACTGGTCCCAGGGGTCGGCGGCATAGGGGCGCCAGCCCCACTTATAATGTGTGAAAATCAATTTGATACTGCACAAAAATGCTTGAGGCAAAAGCCGGGCAAAGGACAAACCTAAAAAGCCTCAAACGTGCAGAAAAGTGCAATAAAGCTGTTTCAAATTGTTTCAAAGCACCAGACCAGGCAACTGTTTCAAGTCACCGTCAGCATCGAAAAAAATTACACCGACATAGACCCCAGATAGAAAAGGTTGGAACTGATGGTTCCCAACGTGGGAACCAAAGGTTACCATGGCAAGGAACTGCCGGTTCCCAGACCTTGAAACTTACGGTTCCCAACCTGGGAACCAGAGGTTGCCATTGCAAGGAATTGCCGGCTCCCAGAAGTTAGAATTTATGTTTTCGAAGCTAAGCGGCTATCATTGTAAGGAACTGCGGGTTCCCAAAGTTTGAAACTCATGGTTCCAAGCCTGAAAAAGTAACGTTACCAGTGGAAGGATCTGTTGATTGCAAAAACATGGACCTCATGGTTCTTAATGTTGTTTTGTTTTGTTTACTGAGCCGGTAACAGAACCTTTTGTTTTGCTTAATGGACGGGTAGCGAAATGGTTGCGTTTGGCTGTTGGGCCGGCATAAAAATGTTTTTGAACGAAAAAGGTGCATGTCAAAATGACATGAAAACAGTTTCTTTACAATTTTATGGTTTTGCTTAATGGACCGGTACAGAAAGCTTTGTTTTGCTTAATGGACCGGTACCGGAATGTTTGCGTTTGGTTCATGGCAAGGAACTGCCAGTTTCCAAAGGTTGGAACTCACGGTTGCCAACGTGGGAACCAGAGGTTACCATTGCAAGCAACTTCCAATTCCTAAAGGTTGGAACTGATGGTTCCCAACGTGGGAACCAGAGGTTACCATTGCAAGCAACTGCCGGTTCCCAGAGGTTGGAACTCATGCTTCCCAACCTGGGAACCATAGGTTACCATTGCAAACAACTTCCAATTCCTAAAGGTTGGAACTGATGGTTCCCAACGTGGGAACCAAAGGTTACCATGGCAAGGAACTGCCGGTGCCCAGACCTTGAAACTTGCGGTTCCCAACCTGGGAAACAGAGGTTACTAATGCAAGGAATTGCCGGTTCCCAGAAGTTAGAATTTATGTTTTCGAAGCTAAGCAACTATCATTGTAAGGAACTGCGGATTCCCAAAGTTTGAAACTCATGGTTCCAAACCTGAAAAAGCATACGTTACCAGTGGAAGGATCTGTTGATTGCAAAAAGTTAGAACTCATGGTTCTTAATGTTGTTTTGTTTTGTTTACTGAGCCGGTAACAGAACCTTTTGTTTTGCTTAATGGACCGGTAGCGGAATGTGTGCGTTTGGCTGTTGGGCCGGCATAAAAATGTTTTTGCACGAAAAAGGTGCATGTTAAAATGATATGAAAACAGTTTCTTTACAACTTTTGGTTTTGCTTAATGGACCGGTAAAGAACGCTTTGTTTTGCTTAATGGACCGGTACCGGAATGTTTGCGTTTGGTTCATGGCAAGGAACTGCCGGTTCCCAAAGGTTGGAACTCACGGTTGCCAACGTGGGAACCACAGGTTACCATTGCAAGGAACTTCCGGTTCCCAGAGGTTGGAACTCATGGTTCCCAACCTGGGAACCAGAGGTTACCATTGCAAGCAACTGCCGGTTACCAGAGGTTGGAACTCATGCTTCCCAACCTGGGAACCATAGGTTACCATTGCAAAGAACTTCCAATTCCTAAAGGTTGGAACTGATGGTTCCCAACGTGGGAACCAAAGGTTACCATGGCAAGGAACTGCCGGTTCCCAGACCTTGAAACTTACGGTTCCCAACCTGGGAACCACAGGTTACCATTGCAAGGAATTGCCGGTTCAGAAGTTAGAATTTATGTTTTCGAAGCTAAGCGGCTATCATTGTAAGGAACTGCGGGTTCCCAAAGCTTGAAACTCATGGTTCCAAGCCTGAAAAAGTAACGTTACCAGTGGAAGGATCTGTTGATTGCAAAAAGTTAGAACTCATGGTTCTTAATGTTGTTTTGTTTTGTTTACTGAGCCGGTAACAGAACCTTTTGTTTTGCTTAATGGACCGGTAGCGAAATGGTTGCGTTTGGCTGTTGGGCCGGCATAAAAATGTTTTTGCGCGAAAAGGGTGCATGTCAAAATGATATGAAAACAGTTTCTTTACAATTTTATGGTTTTGCTTAATGGACCGGTACAGAACGCTTTGCTTTGCTTAATTAATAAACCCGTACCGGAATGTTTGCGTTTGGTTCATGGCAAGGAACTGCCGGTTTCCAAAGGTTGGAACTCACAGTTGCCAACGTGGGAACCACAGGTTACCATTGCAAGGAACTGCCGGTTCCCAGAGGTTGGAACTCCTGGTTCCCAACCTGGGAACCATGGGTTACCATTGCAAGCAACTGCCAGTTACCAGAGGTTGGAACTCATGCCTCCAAACCTGGGAACCATAGGTTACCATTGCAAAGAACTTCCGGTTCCCAAAGGTTGGGACTGATGGTTCCCAACGTGGGAACCAAAGGTTACCATGGCAAGGAACTGCCGGTTCCCAGACCTTGAAACTTACGGTTCCCAACCTGGGAACCAGAGGTTACCATTGCAAGGAATTGCCGGTTCCCAGAAGTTAGAATTTATGTTTTCGAAGCTAAGCGGCTATCATTGTAAGGAACTGCGGGTTCCCAAAGCTTGAAACTCATGGTTCCAAGCCTGAAAAAGTAACGTTACCAGTGGAAGGATCTGTTGATTGCAAAAAGATGGACCTCATGGTTCTTAATGTTGTTTTGTT